ATCTATCTATCTATCTATGTAGATTTACAAAATGATCTTACTGAGACTGCTACAATAAGTTATTTAGTTACTGCAATTAAAAGACACTAAACTCTTTCGTTTTATATTTTAAATATAAGCAATTACATTGGAAATCTGCCAGTTTCTTTCTGCCCACTAGGTCATTCGTTTTACTTTGATGCAAATCACACTACTTTAAGAGCCAGCATCTCTGTGCAAGGAATTTCTGGAGATTAATGATGTTTAGGAGTAGGAACGCAGTGTGCTGACATACTGCAACTGACTGCAAGTCAGCTCAATTTTAAAATGCCTTTCACACATTGCATTTTTCCAATATTGAGAAAACCTGTAGGCTGGAGTACAGACCTCCTAGACATGAATTGTGACAAACCGAGGGACAATCTCAATCATTAACTGCATTTCAGAACTTCCAGGCTTTTAAAGTACCACTAGCATGGTTGTAGACCTTAGAACTACCACCCACTCACTGACTCATATAAAGTGAACTGAAAAGCCATTCTGATTATTAAGCTAAGGTGGCATAGACCTGTGATTGATTAGCAACATAAGGTGTGCCTGACCTTTTGCCCAAGTGTCCCATCAACCCTGAATGGGATAGGAGGTTTAGAAAACGGATACAAAGATAATGTGTAATGGATAAGAATGGCCTACAGATACTGATCAAAATGATTATGAATGACTCATAAAGCTAGTGAGCGTATTTCTGAGTAACTGCTTTATCAACGAGACAAAGAGTATAAGATGGACATCTGACACATAAAATGTGTTACAGTGTTTTCAGTGTGAACAGACGTGATTTAGTGCCGATCAAAGGGATATAAACTGCAAATTAGTTCCTAATATCTTTTCATAAGAGCTCTGAAAGTGTTAAATAGTAGGACAACAAGCTCACTTATACACTCTTAATTCTATTTTACTTAAGTTAGTATGCAGCACTGTACAAAAATTTTGAAATTAAATTAACACATGCTGCCTGTCATGTTCAGAAAGATGTTTGAGCCAAGCCTAAACCCATGGAATCCAAATGTGGGAACATAACTTCTTCCAGCTGAGTGAAAGACTTAATGACCTCAGCAAATACTTTACAGCACATATATGAAACATAAATAACTTAAATGGCACTGATAAATGATACAGAATACCATGTTTACTTAACTGTAGCCATATGTGATGCCTGTCTCCTGCTATATGGAGACCTTTTCTTGGAACAGTTTCAGTGTGGGAGCATGATTGATATGAATAGGGCACACATCAAAAGCCAAAGACACAACACAGACTGTTGCATCGCTGCGTGAATGCATGCACGTGTGTCATCACGGGACTTAGTGTGTATGACAGATACTACAAATGATAGCATACAGTGGCTGCAGTGGGGATCATATATGTCTGTAAATAACTACATACAAAAGGCTAACCTTGCCTTACACACACACACACATGTTGTGAAGTTTTGGGAATGTGATGTACAATAACTGTTGTTTGAATGTTAGTGTTGATCGCTCTAGAACTCTTTCATTACTCAAATATTATGGATGGCATGACTTCAGTATCTTATTAATCAGAAGTACAACTAGAAGGAGAATATTTAAAAAAATATTATGCTATATATAGTACACGGCCTCAAAACAAACATTGAAAATATTGAATTTATATTTAGTCCCATTTGGGCAAGATGTATTTCTCTAGTTGAGGCTGGGTGATTTTAATCATACATGTGCTTATCAGTAATT